TCAAAGGAAGAGGCAGGAGGTGTCAGAGTGTCTCTTTGAATGGGGTTTGGCCTGGCAGATTCCTCTAATGTCAGCAGAAACTTTGGCGCAATGTAAGTAAATAAAAGATCAGAACTGCATCCTTCCAGATTTGCTGGCCGGATTCCAAGGGTGTTTTGGTGTGTGGATTTGTAATTTGACTATGTTTTGATAGATCTTGGGTTGAACGCAGAAGGGGAATATCCAGCCTTCCCCTGCTTTCTTGCAAAATACAGGTGCAGTTTTTTGGGGGAAGATAAAAGGAGCTTTTCTGGTATTTATTTGGAGGATGTATCAGCTGCCCCTGTGTTCTTAGCGTGATGCACACCCAGATGCCCTGCCCCGAATAGTTGCACAGTTAATGCTCCTACAGTGTCACACCTCTTCCTGTTGTTAGATAAAGGAACTTGAGTTCATTTACTTCCCCCTCCTGCACTTTTGCTCCTTCCAAGAAATGTGGACTTTGGCGTTGGTTTGGAAAGCTCCTCTGAACCCATTCTCCTGAGTAGTGAAAAAGCACCGCAACTTAACAACGAACAGAAAGAAATGGGTTGGGGTTGTGCTTCAGGCTGAGAATCCCAAAACGGCTTTGGAGGAGGTTGCAGCGGGTTGTGTGGAAGAGGCAACAGGAAAGCCCAACAGCTGCAGACAACAGCTGCCTCATCCAAGAAGAAGGCCAAGCTGAGCTTCAAGACAGGTGGTAGGATTCCGTAATGGGATCCCAAGAGGAGAGGCGCCTTAGGAGCTATCTGGGGAATCCAGAAGGGGCTTCTGCTGGCTTCGGGTTGCCTTCTTCGCCCCACAAAAGGAGCAGGATGGCGAGGCCAGTCCAGACGCGAGAAACAGAGATGAGTTGGGGTCCCGTGGAGGAATAGACTCCAGGGAAGCAAGAACTTCAAGGAGAAGGCCGATTCAGAAGAGGAGGAAGAGGGACAGACAAAGGGTGTGTGTGTGTGTGTGTGTGTGTGTGTGTGTGTGTGTGTGTGTGTG